CTGTGAACTTCCTTCTTAGGGCTGGTTTCATTGCCTCTGATAGGTTCCAGTATTTTGTTTTGACTTGATCATTTGACTGTAGAAACTGCATAATTTCTTCTTTAAATTCCTCTTTTACCCCCTTATTATTCAAGAGGGTATTGTTTAATTTCCAAGTTTGCATATTTCATGTAGTTTCCTTTGCAATTGATTTTTAGTTTTACTGCACTATGAACTGATAATATGAAAGAGACAGTTTCAGTTATTTTGCATTTACTTAATCATGCTTTATTGGTGAATATGTGATTTTTTAAGAGAAAGTCCAGGGTGCTTCTGAGAAGAATGTGTAGTGTATTAATGGATGGAACACTCTGTAGACATCTATTTTGTTCATTTGTTTGAAGGTTAACCATTTTGTTTGGTTAACCTCTGATTTTTCATTGTTGATTTTTTGTCTAGCTGATCTGTCCTTTTGTGACACTGTTATCAAGGTCCCCCATTACTATTGTATTGGTGTTTTGCTGATTTTTTTAAGTGTATTAGTGTTTGCTTATGAAGTTAGGGTCTCCAGTATTTGGTGTGTATTTTTATAATTGTTATCTCTTACTGTTGACTTCTTCCCTTAACTAATATGTAGTGACCTTCTTTGTCTCTTTTGATTAATCTTAGTGTGAAATTCACTTTGTCTGAGAAGAAGATAGCCACTCCTGCTTTTTTCTGAGTTCTCAATACATGGAATATTGCTTTTTATCCTCTGTTTTTTTTTATCTGAGTAGTTTTTAATTAAATGTGTTTGTTGTATGCAACGTAGCCATTGCATTACTTTCCTTTTGCTGATTTCTTCATTTTTCCCCTCCTCTTTCACTTCTCATCCCACCAGGTACATACATTTTTTTTGATTTGTTGATATTATTGGCTTCATTTTCGCTTTCAAAGATATCCTTGAGAAGGTTTTGATTGCTGACTTGTGGTCATGAATTTCTGGAGGTGCTTCCTGTGATGGAAATGTGATATTTCTCCATGAAATGTAATGAGAGTTTTTCAGTATATATAAATTATTCAGTTTCCTGGTTCCTTGAAATATTATTTCCATGCTTTAATTTTTATCTATGAATACCTTCTCACATTAGATGAGTTTCTTGAAGGCAACAGACTGTTGGATTCTGTTTTATGATCCATTCTCCAAATTTGTGTCTGTTTTGTCTGAAAGATCTGAAAAGGCAAAAGAGGATTCACCTCTGAAAGACTCAGAGAAGATCAAGTAAAAACAGATCATGAAAGAGAAGAAAAGACACACACCCCATTGCGAAGAAAGAAAGAGACCTATAAATTAAACAAAACATAAGCATAAGAGTTTAAAAGAGGGAAAGAGGTCAGGCAGGACTGTCTGGCATGGCCTCTGCCATTGCCTCCTATGGGAACTGCCATTCTGAGAAGTTCCTAGCTTACCAGAAGGTCCTTAGCAATGCAGCAGAATCAAACCTCACAAGAGAGATATGGGGAATACAGGCCCTTTATCTCATGGTCTTTTCTCCCAACATAGAGGAGACTGCAGCCTGGCAGCATTTTCACTGGAACACAGGCAAGAGTAACCAGAGCTTGGAACTGCTCCCTCCCGACTCACTTGTTCTCAGACAGATCTATGTCTGAGTTGGCAATCTTCAGTAATGGATCCCAAGCATACTGAGCCAAAGCCTGGAGCCTGTGGTATGTCCTGTGCCTGCTGGAGCATTCATCCCAGGCATACAGCTAATGCAAGTCCAGTGTGAGTCCACACTCAGTTCTCTGGGTTTGCTTGAGCCTACAACTAGTTCTCGCTGTCCTACTCCAATCCAAGATCTGCCAGTGACTCTTTCTGACAGTTAGCACCAGTTCCCAGACAATCATGGTTTACATGGGTGTTCCAAGCCTGTGTGAATCTCTACTGGGTACACTTGGACCATGGCAAAATCCATTTAGCACCAAGCCACACCACTTCCACTCTGGGCACACCAGAATATCCATACTATAGACTACTAGATCCCCAGGCATAATCCCTGCCTAACACAAGGGGCCAGTGCCCTACTGGTTAAGCAGCAAAGGCTAAGGGTCTGCCTGTTTGCCTAGTACTTTGGATGTCCATGAGATGCTACCCAGAGCCTTGCAACCCCATTGGACCTGTAGAAATCCCCCCATGTTTGACTTGTGAAGGTTTAGTTTTCCTCTGGGACTGGTGAGTCCATGGGAGCCTCCACCTGATGTCCAGAGCCTGTCCCACAGCCACACACAGCTGGATATACATTGGCTCACCAGCACTGGTCCCCAGCTAGCAGGAATTCATGACAGAACTCTCAGAACAGGGCCCCTTACCTTTCCTGGTCTGACACCATAGCCTGAACAGATGTCCCCTTAAACTGAGTAGCCTCCATACAAACTCATAGACTATAAAGAATGGTAAAGAGGACTGTGACTTGTAAGATTAAAAACTGATGGCCCTGGAAGAAATTATTTAATACATATTTTTGCCCCCCTTTTTGTACACTTTGAGTTCTTACTACATTTTTCTTCTGCCAACTTCTTAAGATCTTATGGAAGCCCTTCTTCATAACTGTCTTTTTCTGCCTGCCTCAATGAGCTTGCTTGATTCAAAATGTTTATGGTAATTTCTATCAAATGAAAACATTACAGTGTGTCCTCATTGACCTTATCCACCAGATCTGCCACCTTCTAAATTCTGGCTCTGCCTTAAAGTCAAAATGACCACGAAAAGTAAAACCAAAACAAGTTTAAATCAAGAAACAATAAATATAACTTCCGGAGGTAGAAACTCCAATGGCTTCACTCGTGAATTTGCCCAAACAAGTGTTCCATAGTCAAATAAGATCATAGCGCAAAGGGAAGAAGCAAGGGCTTTAATTAGATTTCTATGGCTGCTGCCATCAGTACCTGAAAACTTGGAGATTACAACAATGCAAATGGATTCTTTCACAGCTCTATGAACCGGAAGTGCGTAATATTCTCAGGGAGCAGAAATCCACGCTCTCTCAGAGCTCTTCCTCCCCTCCGCAGGTCTCCCTTTCCTGCCTCTCCCATCCACCAGAGGTCGCCAGCTTCCGTAGCTGTGGTCACATCACTCTGACTCTGCCAGTCATCTCGCCTGCTCCATGTCATCTATGGCTAAACATTTCTGACTCCGCTTCGCAGAGACCCGTGGGGTTTCCATGTGAGCACACGCAGATAGCCCTGATGGTCTCTCCTTCCCCAAATCCTGCAATTACTGCCATCTGCATAGGGCCTTGGGCCACACTGAGTGAGTAATATTGAAATGTTTCAGAATTAGTGCTTTGGCCCTTGGTGACTCATCATGGATTTACCCTAGGGACAGATGGGGACATTCTGCACTGTCTTTGAAAGTGCTATAAATCAAAATATCCTAAAGTTCAATAATAACTAACAAAATGAGAAATGATTCTGGAAAAGTCACCATAGACACAGAAATGAACATAAACAAATTGAACAGGGAGAGATACACCTGTGTTTAAATGTTGTAGACTGCAGAGGTCTCTGAAGGTCAAAACTCAAGACAAGAAGATGGCACTTTTACTCACAGAATCACTATCGTTTGTTTTCTAACGACAAATAATAGTATGTATGTTTCCATAAGCCTATAATATGTTTGTAAAATTGCTCAAATGCAGCCAGATATGGATCCTTTAATATATTTAACATTTAATGAATCTTTTTGAATTTCCAAAGAGTAATTTTTGATGTTATATGCCTTTTAATGTATCCTCTCTTTTAAGGAAAAATAAGAGGTTTGAGATGCTGTGTGTGATGATGAGATTTCCAGAAAATCATCTTGTCCTCAAGTGAAGAGTGTGAGGATGCAGGAAAAAATGTTTCAGCAAATCACAAAATAGTGTCTCTTCAAAGGCATTGACTGTTGATCCAGAAGGGCTTTATTCTGCATGATTCACTGTCGCAACCAAAGTGTCAAGGGCTCAACATGCTTGCACAATTAATATAGACCCTCAATTACAATTTCAGACATTTACCAAGTACTTATGGAGAAGCTACAATGAAACAGATATATTTTTAGCTACTGGTCATCATGTTATGAGAAAACTGATGCAGTCACTGCTGTCCTGGAGCTCACATTCTCTTGGGGAAGGTAAATAAGCATGGAGAATAGCAAAGGGCTGACAACAACTGCAGAGAATGACTTAGGAGGCAGGGCCAGTGTGCTTGATGAGGGGAGACTGAGCAGTGAAGAAGGAAGACAGGGAAGGATTCTGTGACAGGGTCCCAGTGAGTCAGAGCTCTGAGTGGAGGGAGAAATCCACGCTGGGGCCAGCAAGTACAAAGTGGCATGAGCTTGGTTGAATTTGTAAATAAAAGGCAAAAAAATAATCAATGCAAAAGAAGAGTGGGAAAGACAGCAGAGTGTAAGGGAAAATCCAACTAAGCGAAAACACAAAACAACAGTAAGCATTAATATTTGGTGTATTCACAGAAAACATATAAAATATTATTGCTTACTAGGTTTAATTCTTAATCTAAATGTGTAGTAATGCACCAATAAGTTTATAAGATGGGTGTATTTCTGGAATTTTCTTATCCTTATGAAAATTAAAATATGAACATTTCAAATATATCAAGTGACACAGTAAAAAGAAACCTTAATGCATATGAGATGCAAGATTTGTGATGTGCTCATTAAATTATGGAAAGAGAAATTCTCCACTTTATAAAATATGTCATATTTTTTCAAATTAAGACTAATATGAAAAATTAAATCTTAACAAATATTATATTCTATTGCACAAATCAAGTGTTAAATTACAACTTTTAAATACTAGTGTTTTAGTCAAGGATCTCAGATGAAAAGAATCAACAAAATACTTACAGATATGGAAGCAGATACCTATTGATTTATTGATTTATTGAGTCATTTAGAGACAGAGTCTAACTATGGAGTTCAGGTTGGTCTGGACTCACTATATAGCCCAGGCTGGCCTTGAACTCATGGCAATCCTCCTACCTCAGGTTTTCAAGTACTAGGATTACAGGCATATGCCGCCACTTCTGGCTGCAGAAGCAGATATTTATTAAAGTCATCATGATATAAGACAGGGAGGTTGTAAAGTCCCTTAGTGCTTTATCAGCAATGCAGAGGACAAGGCTGGCTGGGGTCTGAAGCAGAGAAGGGGAGCTTGGCCTCTGGTAAGTGTGGAGACCGAAGACCAAAAACAGGCACAGATCATGAACTGATGTCTATGTGTCAGAAGGCTGAGGTCCTAAACGTGAGAGAGAGAAACATGGAGAGAGAAAACTCCCCACAACGCAAACTTCCCCTGACAAGATCTTCTTTACTAATGCACTGCTTTAAATACAAGACTCTGATGGAAACACATAGACATAAGGTAAGATTATTTGCTGGCTCCATGAATATCATTTAATGAAGACAAATAAACACATAGAGTTAACTACCACAAATAGCACACTTTATTCAAGTCTGATAAAAGCTACCACATCCATTTCCATTTGCCATTATGAGACCACGGTGGATGTTGCTTTGATTTTTGGGCATCTTTCGGCCTGTTGTACACAGGTCTGCAATGGCATGAAGTATGGGAAAGAGCACGTGTATTATGCATGTGCACACCAATATCCTTAAGGATGTTTTAGCCAGGAGAACTCAGGATGTCTTAGTCACTCAAACTCGATATTTATATATGGATATGGTATTTTTTCATGTCAAAAGTCAAAAGTTATAGAGTCAAAAATATATTGTCAATATGGGCCTCAAAATGTAACATGGTACCTGGACAAGATCTGAGCAGGAAGTACCTCCAGAGATGCTGCAATTGCCAAAGTTACAATGAAAATCCTACAGCTTATTTGGCCTTGATAAAATGAATGTACGCTTGACTTTTAAGAATGCACTCTTAACCTCCTTGTTCCTCAGGCTGTAGACCACAGGGTTCAGCATGGGAATGACTATGGTGTAGAACACAGAGGCAATTTTATCAGTGTCCATGGAGTGACTGGATGTGGGCTGCAGGTACATGAAGATACTCGTCCCATAGAAGATGGAGACGGCAGTGAAGTGGGAAGCACAGGTGGACAGAGCCTTGCGAGGTCCTGCACCAGAATGCATCCTTAGGATGGAGACAAAAATGAAAATGTAGGATGCTGTGATAACCAAGATGGCAAAAAAGATGTGGAAGCTCACGACGTAAACAAGAACCAGCTCACTAATGTGTTTGTCAGAGCAAGACAGAGCTATGACTGCTGGAACATCGCAGAAAAAGTCATGGACCACATAGGAGTTACAGAAGGAGAGACTGAATGTGTTACCAGTTTGGATGCAGGCATTCAGGAATGAGCAGGCATAGCAGCCTAGGACGAGACCCACACACACATTTGCAGTCATGGTGGTGGTGTAGTGCAGGGGTTTGCACACTGCAGCATAACGGTCATAGGCCATTGCAGGCAAAAGATAATTTTCTGCACAAATGAGGGTTGTGAAGAAGAACATCTGAGCAGCACAGGCATTGTAGGAGATGACTTTTTTTCCTGTAAGGAGCCCAGCAATGACTACAGGAGTGACAACTGTGGAGGAAGAGAAATCCACCAGAGACAGGTTACCGAGGAAGAAGTACATGGGGGTGTGCAGACGAGCGTCCAGCAGGATCAGCAGGATCATCCCCAGGTTCCCAAGCACGGTGATGGTGTAGATGAGGAGGAAGGTCATGAGGAGGGGAAGCTGCAGGCGTGGGTCATCGGTCAGCCCCAGCAGGAGGAACTCTGTCACCTCTGTCCTGTTCTCCATCAGTGCTGTCCAGAACCTCTACATGCTCTGTAGCAGTGAGAAATAGAAACGTGAAGAAATGGACCTGAAGTGAGAATGTATAAGTACAACATGTTATGTATCTGCAGAATTTAAACTTTTCTCTAGAAAAATAATTTTCTTAAAAAGCAAGCTGATTTTATTAATGGTGTACATATTTACACATTTCAAATCTTAAGAGTTTTCATGGATCAGCCATGTAAATTAAAAAATTGCAAATTTGTGAACTGGGATATAGATAGTTCAATAATTTAATGCAGTGACTTGTATGGATGCATCCATCAGTAAATTTACTTCATCTGAATGCAATAAAAACTGACATTCCAAGTTATCACCTAGGAAATACTCTTACAGACATCTCACGTATTCATTCACGGTCTGCTTCTAGCTACCATGATTTTTTGTAGTTATATTAAATTAAATTAAATTAAATTATGGATCCCAACAGGAGGGCAACTCATTCATATTGGCACACATATTAAAAGGCAGTCTCTACCATATACCCATGCTAAGCTTTAATCTATCCTGAGTAGTTCCTAATTCTGAGGATCTGAAGTGAATTCAATTCAAATTTAGCTGAATTTATAATTTGTGATTTCATTTGTTTCAAATGTAGTATTGAATTTCAGAGGAAACTGACTTATTATTTACATGCTAATTGCATCTGGAGTTAAAACTAACCCCCCAAAACCCCCCAAAAAAGGGATGATCATTTCTCTAAAACAAAATGTTTCGATGTGTTAACAAATTCTAAATGAAACTGACAAGGTTTCCTCGCTGTCCCAGACTCGCGACCACCAGCACATCTCCGCGTGTTGACAGCGTGCACTCACAGCACCAGCTCTGGGTGCAGCTGGGGATGAGTCTGACTCCCGCCCCTCCTGGCTCATCCACGCGCACAGGGCTGGGGTGAGATAACGGGTGCACACGCTCACTGGCACAGGGCATTCTGAGGGAGGCAGAACAGCAGATACGGCAGTCAGAGAGTTTAAGGTTCTCTGAAGGGTCCCAGGTTAGACCGCACATTTGCACCTAGCAGTCGTGAGTCCTCCGTGATCTACAGTGAACATGACACTGCCATTGCAAACACACACAGCAATGGGACTGACATTTAGGCATCAATGTGAGAACGGGTAAGAACCAGGAGGGTAAAATGGTGGGTGTCAAGTTCATACTGATGAGGCCAGTGATTGTGTCATTGTTAGGATGGAATAATGGCTTTGAAGCATTCTGACGCAGGAGGACTGTGACACACAGAGCTTTGGTCTCAGGTGACCTTGAAGTCCTGAAGGTTCCTCCCGTTTCCCTTCCTCCATGAGGCCTCTGCAATTGTCCATACTCTCCACTGCTTTGGTCTCGCTCTACTCCACGTGTGTGACTGCGGCTGCTGCTACTCCATGCATGGCCTTCCTTGTCAAAACTGCTTCCTTAAAATCCACATTTGAGTTTGCAAAATAGTCTGTTCTTAAATTCAGGGTTCCTTTCATTACTGTCATAGCAAATTCACAGAGCAAGGTATGAAATCAGCTAGTTTATTGGTTATGCACAGTTCACAAATATTACATTTTATCAGCAAGTTGTGTGTTTTAAATATATTATTTGAATCTCTTCTTGTGTAGTGACAGTATTTAAAATTTCTTTAAGTTGCAATCTTCAGAAGATATTTACTGAAATGTAACTTATTACCTTCCCTTTTTCCTAAACCTTTGGTAACCTACATTTGGGAAGCAGCCCCATAAAGATACTGTGTTCACCAAACTTAACACACATGTTATTGTTGACATATACAGTACTATGTCCTATAACACATGATAAGCAATTTATACATAAATGGCATGTATATATTACAAGGAATATACATTATACACAAGTAAACCACAGAATTGAGAAATCATGGTTTGTTGCAAAATTACATAAGTAGTTAGAAAAAGACTCAAGATACATGATTTCAAACTGCCTTCCAAAAATAATGAGTTCCAATTATATTAATTTGTGTAGGAACCTTTGCAATTTAAAGAACAATTACCTCAATATTCTCAACTTATGTTTTTGTTTGTTTTAGAAACTGGAAATGAGAAAGTTAATGTCACTAATCACTCAAAGTGTCATTTTTCTTAGTTTGTTCATAATGTGGCAGAAAAAAGCTTTATTCATTGTATGAATCACCAAAGTCTCTATGAAAGGCATTTATACCACAAGCTTTCTTCACCATTTAGAAAATATTTAGAAAATATTTCTATTGTAAAATAATTCATCCTGCATATAGTTAGGCTCCTGCTTTGGCATAAGTTAAACTTATGATTAAAATGTTAGAATGTAGGAGCTTACCAGTTTGCTAAAGGAGAAGCAACAAACAGTACAGATAGTGCCTTGAAATCATAAATATATCCATGGTACCTCGCTGAAGTCCTACGAGACGCGTTCCCTTGGTCTCATGTAATGTTCTAATTTTCCAATGTCTCTAAGGCAGGTAGGGAAAAATGGAGAAGAGGAAACTCACATGATCATGATTCATATACACCACAAATGCCCTTGGAAAGATGACTCCCTTCTTAAAACATCTATAAAGCAAATGTGATGGGATTACTCTTCTCACATAACTCACTAAGAGCGTCTGTAATTAATCAGAGGCCTCTAAGTCATGTCTCAAAGAGCTGATTGTTCAAAATGTCCATCAGAAAAACTGAGCTTTGAGGGATTTTCCCGGCCATGCTGCAGGTGCACAGCCTGCCCTCAGGGGGGGACAGTGACTCACTGAGATGGGTCAGTGATGTCCAGTAGCAAAGGCAGCAGCGTGTCCCTTCTGCACTGTGGCCAGCTCCAGTCCTATTGAGATCCCTGAAGTTTCTACAAGGAGATCTGGAGACGATTATGGAGACACTGTGAGCTCTGGAGATTTCCTCCCAAGAACAGCTACAGTTTCTCCTCCCAGCTCCTCAGGGAAGAAGCCATTACACTGCCTGTAGGGACCAAGATGGTGACATTTTTAAATTAAATGTGTTTTACCCTGATGAATGAAAACGTACTAAAGAGTTACTGAGGTGCATGTATATGTGTCTACCTTCTGTGATACTGAACAAAGTTATACAAATCTACTCCTTCAAATATTTGCTTCTTTACAGTGAAATCTTTCAGTCTTTCAATCTACCCTTTTCTATATTTGGTATCTCGAATCCTAGGAATACAGTTAGCATTATTTTTTATTTTGTCAACCTTCGTGCTGAAGATCTGAATAGTGTTTGTAATATGTGTACAATATTATAGCATTTTTATTTGTATAATTATCAAAACAGTGAGTTTATTATGGTCTCATATTTTCATTCATCAGCACTGCTTTCAATTTGTTGAATTCCCCTTAACATTTTTTCTTGTTTTTAATTTTTATTTTATTAGTTCATGTTTGCAATGCATGCAGTTTCCATTCACCTTGAGGGGTAGATGCATATATGTAACATAGCTTGTTTCTATTTTAATCCCATCCCTTCCCACCATTTCCCTTTATGTCTCCAGATCCCTTTTCTCCATTTTCATTTTGTTGTCATCAACAGCCATAGCTCTGTTTATGACCTGTAATGTTTGCCTTCATTGTTGGTATTTGGTATCTCTATATGGTGTATCTTAATCATTCTTACTTCCACCTCCATGCCTCCTTTCTCCTCACCCTCTGTGTCCCAGACCGCATCCCATTTGCAAAACAGCTATACCTCTGTTTCCTTCTATCCATCACTTAGACTGCTCTTTGTGTGTGCCTTACCTTACCCAAACGAGCAGTACAATATAGTATTTAAACTGTGTATCCAATTTATTTCAGTCAACAATTTTTCCAGAGAGGGCAGTGTGAGGCATATTCTCTCAGCATTTATTTCTCAGGGAGTATCATTGTATCTTCATTTCTGAAGGAAAGATTTTTCTAGGCCATAATTCTGGTTGAAATTTTTTCCTTTAGTACACTGAAAATCTCTTGTCTCTTTCCTGTCACCTGGCTTGTAAGCTTTCTGCTGAGAATTGTGCTCTCAGGAAAATTAGGACAGTCTTTTATTTTCTCCCTTGTCTTCAGCAAGTTCTTTTTCCTAAGAATTGACTTTGAGATGAAGTGGGAGAGACTCGGTTAAGTTGAATCTGACCAGTGATCTTTGACTTTTGGCACCTTGTATCTTTCTCCCCTTTTGAAAGTTTCCTGTTATTATTTCTTTGAATAATCTGTCAACTGTTTTGTGTTTGTCCAGAGCCATTTAAGTCCCAATACATTGAATGTTTATTTTCACACTGTCAAGGTTTATTCTTTCAACTTCATTCTTTGTTCTCTAGTCTGTCATTGAGCTCATTTGCTTGTTTCTTTTTTCCTGCTTAACTTGTCCTCTGACTGATGGTTTTTATTGTGCTTTTAGGGTTTTTCTACTACTTTTTCCTTTTTTGACTTTTATTAGTACATATTTATAGTACACAGTGTTTGCATTCACTGCAGGGACTTGTACATAATGCATTTCAATTCCCTTCCTTTCCCCTCTTTCTTCCATTACCCTTGCTTCTGATTCAGGAATTTATCTTATAAGATCTTGTAAAGTTAATTATCATACATACAGTTTGAAAACCAATTAATAGGCCAAAAACACAAAACATGTAATTCAATTGTACTAAGTCAAAATACACTTTTATGTACATTGTTCACACTAGATTTCAATATCTTTTTTGTTTTTTCTTCCTATTATCTCTCTTTTATTTCTACATATATCTATGTGTATATCTAGTTATATCTATCTATATCTTTATATATATTGAGTTTTTGTATAAAAGAAACCATGCAATATTTTAACGTGTTTCTGAGTTACTCACAGAATATTATGGTCTTTAGATGCATCCATTTTCTTATAAATGGGTAAAGTTTATCCTTTTATGGCAGAGTAGTACTCCATTGTGTATAAATACCACGTCTTTAGTCCATTCATCTGTTGATGGACATGTAGGCTGTTCCCAAGATTTAACTGTTGTGAATTGTGGTAGTATAAACATGGGTATGCACACGTCACCAGTGGTATGATGCCTGTAACACTTTTGGAGAGGTACCTAGAAAGGGAATACCTGGGTCAGATGGAATTTCTACTTTTAGTTTTTTGAGGAATCTTCACACTAGTTAAAGCAGTGGTTGTTCAAGTTTACACTCTCAGCA